AGCTAATCGGGAGGAAATAGGGATTTTGCAGTGGGGAGGGGATGGAGATTTTACAGTATCCTTCCTTTGCCACACCCAGCCAGCCATGTCCACCAAGCCAAGCCACACCCACAAAGCGACACCCACAGAACTGGTAGTATAAATTTTTGAATCCCAACACTGGCCAGATCAAATGTAATTTTTAATGTTGGATTTTCCCTCTTACCAGTGGGAGCCCCCTTGTGGAGTACCATGAAGCTGTTATCATGGCAACTTCACTGCGTTGCACAGTAGAAGCCATTTTACAGCAGTACAGTAGAAGTCATTTTAAGGCACAACAGGCTGTATCTTAACAGAACACACACCCTGAGGGGTTTTAGGAGTGTCTACCCTCCACAATATTTGTTTCCAGAGAGTAAGTCATCTGGGTACCCCAATCAAATTTTGAGGCTAGTGAGTAAGCAGGCATTTAATGGCAGGTGAACAAAAACATATTGAAAGCATTTATTAATATCAGCCTATTCTGCCTTCTTCCTTGTGGCAGCCCCTCAAATATTGGAACATCGCTATCACATCAGCCCTAGTCCTTCTTTTCACTAGACTGGATATACCCAAATCCATATACCTGCACTGTTCCTCATATGTTTTCTCCTCCAGATCCCTAATCATCTTTGTTGATCTTCTCCGCACCCTTTCCAAAGTCTCAGTGTGTTTTTTATATATTGTAGTGACTAAAACTGGATGCAGTATTCCAGGTGTGGTCTTACTAAGGCATCATAAGGTAGTGTTAACTCTTCAGGTGATCTGGATTCTATCTGTTAATGCAGCCTAGGATTGTGTTGGCTTTCTTGATGTCTGCCGCACACCCCTAGCTGATATTTAAGTGATTGCCATTTGGATTCCAAGATTCCTCTCACAGTTACTGCTATTGAGCCAAATTTCATCTATTCTGTATCTGTGCATTTGGTTTTATTTACTTTCTTTCTTTCTTATTGACTCATTTCTCTTCCCAGGCATCGTATGCGAAAAGAAGCCTCCTGCAGCCACAGTAATTCTTTGGATGAGAATATGAAGCTTCAGAAGGTGAGATGCCGAGCAGTAGTCTTGAATTCCCTCAAAACAGTATTTTCATTTCTAAAGCCCTTGAAGCCATTGTGCCTGAAGGAATACTTCTCTCAGAACATCCTTACTATCGGAGGCCCTTGATCCTTTCCAGGTGAGGGTGCTTTACAGGATGACCCCTGAAGCCAGAAAGTCCTCCTTGCCTAGCCTCTAGCCCAATGGATGGGTTTTTGGGTGCCCATTGAAGGTCTGTCTACTCTTCCCTGACCTCTAACCTTTTTTAGCTGCAGTGCAGTGATTCTCTAAACCAGGGATGTCAAACTCAAGGCCCGGTGGCTGAATCCGGCTCCTGGGGTACTTAGATATGGCCCACACGGTCGCCCGCAGTGCTTCTGCCAGCAAAAATGGGCTCCCAAGCTTTGTTTTCACTGGCAGAGGGTCGCAGGAGGTCATCGCAGCCGAAAAAGGAGCTCTGGAGTCAGTTTTAGCTGGCAGAGCACTTGGGCTACCACAGTCGCCCCCAACAGGAATGATGTCAAACTGACCACACCTACCCCAGCCATGCCCCCCCATAGGTCAAATGCAACCCTGATGCGGCCCTCAATTAAATAGAGTTTGACACCCCTGCTCTAAACACTTTATCTCCGTTAACAAGTAGCTGCTCCAATATTTTTAATTGATTGTAAAAGCTAGACTAGGAAAAGAGGTTTTTAAAGGTACAGTAGTATTTACATTTGTAAATAAATAAAATGACGGCAACCCCAATTGGGATGGCAACTTGGTTGTTAAACAAACCAGTTGCTAAGTGAAACTGCTCCTGTGCCAACAGTCTTCCTTCAGCTTTCCTTTACTTCACAGACCTGTAAAGTAGTGGTAGGTTGCTTACCAATTTACTACTGGTTTGTTTGTGTGCGTGTGCAACACTTCTGTGCATGTGCAGAAACATCCAGGCTGATGGGTGGACCCTCCCGCCACCACCACTACTGGTTCGGCCGAACCGAGCCGAACCAGGTAGCAACCCACCTCTGCTGTGAAGGCTATACATGAAAGGATTGTTCATAACGATGCATCATAATGGCGAATGGTTGCTAGGATACAGCAATCGCTATACAGAGATTCCCTCTTCTTTTTTTTCTCCAGGTAGACTTCATCTGGATCAATCGAGACCAAAAGTCCTTTGAGTGGTTTGTCAGCCTGCTTACCCAGCTGGAAGCCATGCAAGGGAGTGAAGAGCCCACGGGTGGGTGTCTGCTTCCTCCCGGTCTTTCTTTGCCCCCATCCCCACCTGGGCCCTTTGTGTTTTATGCAGGAAGGGCTTCTGCAGCTTTGAGATGGGACAAAATTGAGGCAAAATCCAGACAGAGTTTTATTCCATTTCCTCCCCCCTCCTCTTCCCTTTAGGCAAGCCATCCCTTTTTGAACTTTACAAGGAATATCAAACAAGGGGACGAGGGACTCGTGGTAGACACCTTCCTGTCCATGCAGTCCTTCTTCTCATCCTTGGTTTCAACACTGATGCATAGGTGCTTTTTGCAAGCACATGCACATACAAACACAAACACACACACCTGAGCTTTTCTACCTGAATGGAAATCTTGCTCCAAACAGTTTTGCCCATTAGGTAAATAGTCATATTTTCATCAATGCTGAAGACAGAAATCCAAGGAAGGGGGGCATGATATGGTCTGCTAAATCCACCCGGTTTTCCAATTCCCAGCCTGTTTCCTGGAGATGCATTTGTACATGACCTCAGCACTTAACAAGAGTGACATGAAGGCTGTGGGCCTGCAGATGGCCTTGGATCTACTTGCAAAAAAAGAAAAGAAAGACTCAATCACAGGCCTCAGGACGAGAACAAAGCCCGGGAGGCCAGACTGGAAACAGGTGGGTTTGTCCTCTAAACCAGTAGTCTCCAACCTTGGCAACTTTAAGACCTGTGGACTTCAATTCCCAGAGTTCCTCAGCCAGCTTTGCTGGCTGAGGAACTCTGGGAGTTGAAGTCCACAAGTCTTAAAGTTGCCAAGGTTGGAGACAATTGCTCTAAACCACACTTAAAAACATGTAGTCTTGTGGTAGCTCAGTCCAGACTCCAAGTTAGTATCTCACCTTGGAGAAATTCCTTCCTTTTATGGCCAGACAACCCTTTCTGGATTGTCCAACTAAAAGGTTTTAATGACAAGCAACGCTGGGACAAGACAAGAGAAAGTCTTCCCAACCAAGGAGCAACAAGCATCTTTTATAATGTATACCCTTAAGCAAGCAGTAAGAAAGATTAATATACCAATTGGCAAGATAGTGATAGCCTATACATCTGTCAGCAGTTCCTATCTAACCCTAGTCCAAAGACAGGTCAATTCTAGCTTTAGATGGAGCTGCTGAAGCTACCTGGATTTTTTTTTCCTTTGGACACAAGGTGCCATGAGGAGGAGGAGCACATCCGGGATCTCTGGAGAGCTAAAACCTATCCTGGATCTTAGTGCAGCTGCGCTATCCTCTTGCAAGCAGACATCTGGTTGCATCAGTTGAGGGGATGGCAACTTACTGGCAGGCCTTCAGATCTCAGCATTCCTTCCTTGGGGGTGGGGGGTGGGGTGCAGGAGTTGGAGTGGAAGGGTTGCAGCAGTTCACTCTTTAGAAATTGCTACAATCCAACAAATCACACCAAGCTTCCTCCTGAATTTGCCAACCTCTCAAAATCATTAGAACCTATTTGTGTACACTTTACATCACGTGGCATCTTTAAAGTCTCCCTTCTTTGCTTATTGCCAAGTTGAAAGCTACCCTTTGAGGGCAGTAGCCACATTTCAAGCATGCGAACACGCTTTGGATAGCCTCCCTCAAAAGGATGCTGTGGTAAAAAATGGTAGTCCTAACACAAGCAAAAGGATACAGAGAACTCTATGGCACGCTGTCCCAGGTTTTTCAGCTAACTTACGGGAGCTGGGTAATGTTCTATATAGTCATAAAACTAACGTGGGACAACCATAACAGGGCATTGTAGAGTTTTCAGTATCACTTTGTGCCATTGAGTGTCCACCTGGAGCTTTTCAGTCCAGCTATGTCTTGTCTTGCAAAAGTGCTGACTCTCAAAAGAAGGCCCCTCCGAGCCCTTTGGGGGCCTCTTTTCCATGGATGAAATCTCTGGCACATATTTTTGAACAATATAAATGTTATCTCAAGAAAGGAAGACTGCAGGTCAAGAACATTGGTAGTCTGTAAATAACCCATGGATCTTTTCCTGTAAATTCAGTTCATAAAGACAACGAAAGATTTTTAACATCCACATATATCTGCTAGATAAGGTCACGGGGAATGGTGCATCCAGTCAGCTGAGTCAGATCTTGGAATGAGGATCAGCAAACGGAAGCCTTAAGCAGAAAAGCAAAATTTTGTGTGTTCAATGAACTTGCTTTCCCAAGATAGTTTGATGGAGATAAAAATACCAGTTGCAAGCATCAGGAATCTGAGAATTAAAACAGCTGGCTGGGGGATTTCACAGAGCTATTTTGAGGTCTTACTGAGAAAGGGAGGAGACAGGCCTTTAGAGAGGCCGGCTTAGAGCTCAATTGGATCACCGTGCCAATTGCTAACAAAAAGAAAGCGACCATGTATTTCAGCTGCTGATGGCTTCTTCTCTCTTTCTCAGCTCTTTCAGAAAATCGACAAAGAAGACAAAGGAAAAGTCCAGGTTTTCTTCTGTGGCTCTCCGGCTCTTGCCAAGGTTGTCAAAGCTCAGTGTGAACAGTTTACCTTTCCCTTTTTCAGGGAAAACTTCTAGCTGTAAGATGTTAGAATTGTTTTTGTTCCTTTTGACCACTATGGTCATGTTTGTTTTTAATGAATTCAAACCTTTAAAAGAAAAACATTAGAAAACACTTGTGTCCCTTTATCACTATAAGTAGGTTGTATAGTCAGCCAAATGTTTACACTGGATTTGGCACTTCTATCCAAGTTCTTCCCAAGGACCTGGGACAGGCAGTCGTTGTTTGATGGTGTTAAATAAAAATTATGATCATATATAATTATTACGTTAGATGATGATGATGGATATATGTATAAGGTTTCTACAGAGCTGGTAAGAATTTGTTTGCTTGCTTATTTAATACAACTAAGTCCATGCAAGGCAGCAAGTAAAGTAACATGTGGAAATAAAAATAAACGTAGATGTAACAAAGCCATTAAGCTTAATGCATTATGAATAATTGACAATGCATCAAAATAAAAAATACTGCAAAAAATCTTCTCTGAGGTTCTTTCTCTACTTGCTTTTAACCATGAGACAAACACTCCCAGGAAATCTTTTTTTCCCAAGGCACCATGATGTTGTCTTTAATCTTATCCGACCATAAAAGAGGTAGCTAGGGGTATCCCAGTTAGTGCTTTCCTCCCCTTATTTCAACACCTTCCAAAGGCAGTTTTAAAGTAAAGGTAGAGGTTTAACCCCCGTCCAGTCGTGTTCAATTCTAGAGGAGTGTATTGCTCATTTTAGTTTCTTGGTTGAGGGAGCCAGCATTGTCCGAAGACATTTTCCATGATCATGTGGCCAGCATGACTATATGCCAAAGGTGCATGGAACACTGTTACCTTCCCACTGAATTGGTACCTATTAATCTACTTGCATTTCCATGCTTTCAAACTGCTAAAGCAGCAAGAGGTGGGATAAGTAACAGGAGCTCACCGTCAGGTCATCTGGCACTCGGGTCCTGAACCCGGGCTGACATCTCTCCAACTGACAAGCTCAGTGTCTTTAACCTCTTAGCCATCTCAACCCCCCCCCCTTTAAAGTTTCAAGGTGTGTAAAATGTAAGCAACATCATTAGGCTATGCATCGCTTCAGCATTGACATTGCTTCAATCTTGACAGCCCCAGTTTTATGCTCTTTGAGCCTGCCCTTTCAACTTAGACTTTCCCTTAGACTTCAAAGTATGGGACTTCCCAATTAATCACCTCTTATCTTGAAGAAAATTCAGATAACCAGTTCTGGATGTAAAGAGAGAAGTGCTTATTCAGTGTTTCTGGCTGACACAACCATAGCCTGTTCTTTTTGGCCTAGTTAGCCTCCTCTATTGCTACAGTATTCTGGTGCTGCCTCCCTGGGAATTTGACACAGTAGGGGACTTATGGACATGCTCAGATATTGAGATTCTAGAACGGGTATCAAACTTGCATCGTCACAGCAGCGTCACATGACTTATTGGGACTCCCCCTTCGCTAAACCGGGCATGGGCGTGGTCAGCATGTGACGTATCCGGCCCATTGGCCGGGAGTTTGACAGCCCTTTTCTAGAAAGAGGGCAGAGAAGAGCTAAATGTCTATGGAGATCCTCAGTCATCCAGGACATGGTTGTCTCAAAGGTACTTTTTCAAGAGACAACTGGACTTACTTTCTCTTTTTTTCGTTTCGCTTCGCATCCAAGAAGCTCCTTCAGCAGAAAACAATCCCCTTATCAAGGAACTATGAAGGAGAACACCACACACCTCCCACCAATGCTGGCAGGGCAAGCTTCTGCATATAAGCAGGGGACAAATTCTGTATCAGATTAGCACCGATGATGTTATCTAACTGCGTAATGAGAAATCTGAAGTCACACAATCAAGGTCAGAGAGTACAAAGGCTTCCACTGTTTTAGCTGGGAAAACAGGACTGGCAGTGGGGAGAAGAGTTTGCAGCTTTATTTCATTATTTTCCCATTGTATCGCTTATCCTGAAAAGGAAAAGCTTGCAACAATATAGTTGTCAACTATCTGTGTTGACATTCCATGCAGAGCATCGGCGGAGCCGGATCTCAGTTTATAGGAGCTGGGTTGAGATGAATGAAGCTATTGGATAATGTGATTTATGACAGACTGAAGGGAGGACAGAAACATGGGCAAAGTTCAAAAGCAGATAAAGAAAGCAAAAAAAGATGGCTGTGAATAAGAAATGTCTAAGGAAGAATGCCTAAGGAAGCTGTTAATAAATCACTGCTTTTTGTATTACAATATCGGGTCACTTATTATGAAGCAGGCATTGTTAGGGTACTTTACAATAGTAGCATTGTTGCCTATCCTGTTGCAGGCTTTTTTTCATCAGATATTGGAGGTGTTTGTCTCTCACTATTGTTATTTTGCCTGCTTCAAATATATTTTTCAGCTCGGCTTTCTCCCTGCCAACTTCTATTTCTTTTAACCAGAAGAGGGAGCTCCAACATAAATGTTTGTTTAAAATTAAATTCAAACATCCAATCTCCTTTTTTAATTGAAGATTAAACAATTAAATATTAACAATCAACATTAACAATTCAATTAACATTACAAACAATGGAGGAGGGAATGAAAAGTAAAAAACAAATGACAAAAGATTTAGAAATCCCAACAAGATAATTTTCCAATATAACACACTTATAAATATCTGATTATGTTGCTTTAACAGATTAAAAACATGAATATTGAGAACTGCAATCACAAGCCAATCATTGTCTTCCTACAATTTATTACAGCCCTTGTCCCCTTGGAATGGACTGCAAAGATGTTTATGTCAACAAGGTTCCTATATTTACATCTCTATGGTTTCATCTCTCTTAGCTGTGAGTTAATTTCCGTATTGTTGTAACCAGTGTAAAATCATTAAACAGCAATCTAACCTAGAACTAAGGAGGTATTTCCTGACTGTGATAACAATTAACAAAATTTGCAGATGATACCAAGTTGGCAGGAATAGCGAACACTCCAGAAGAGGACACAGAAGGATCTTGACAGACTTGAACATTGGGCCCTAACTATCAAAATGAAATTCAATAGTGGGAAAAGTAAGATTCTATTTAGGCAAGAAAAAACCAAATGCAGAGATATAGAATAGGTGGTACATGGCTCAATAGTAGTAACTGTGAGAAAGATCTTGGGAGTCCTAGTGCACAATCACTTAATGAGCCAGCAGTGTACTGCAGCTGTCAAAAAAGTAAATACAGTCCTAGGTTGCATTAACAGAGGGATAGAATCAAGATCATGTGGTTAGTACCACTTTTTAAGGCCTTGGTAAGGCTACACTTGGAATATTTGCATCCAGTTTTGGTCGCCACAATGTAAAAAAGATGTGGAGACTCTAGAGAGAGTGCAGAGAAGAGCAACAAAGGTGATTAGGAGGCTGGAGGTGAAAACATAGGAAGAGGGGGTCAACCTCTTCTCCAAAGCACCAGAAGGCCGGATGAGAAGCAATGGATGGAAACTAACCCACGAGAGAAGCAACCTGGAATTAAGAAGAAACTTCCTAAGAGTGAGGTCCATTAACCAGTGGAACAGAAGTTGTGGGGGCTCCATTACTGGAGGCTTTCATGAAGAGACTGGACAGTCTCTTGTCTCAAATAATTGTACTATGGGGTCTCCTACTTGAGCAGGGGTGGCTGGACTAAAAAGACCTCCAAGGTCCCTTCCAACTCTGCTATTTTGATTCCGCCTCCAGCTCTCTTGACAGGAGAGGTTATTATGCCATCCAGGATTACGGCCTTCAGCCACCCACCCTGGGCCTTTGGCCTAGCGCTGAGGGGAGCGGAATCTGGCTGGTATCTTTAGGGCGTTTAGCGTTTCTCGATTTGGGCAACTTTTAAGACACGTGGACTCCAACTCCCAGGATTCCCAGACGGCCGTTGAAGTTGCCACGGTTGGGATATGCTGGTGTAGGGCGCCGTGTGGGCAGAAGGTCCGCACCGCCTCTGCCTGCCTGTCCTCGTTCGTAGCGTCACCCAAGGCTGGGTGAACTCTGCCTGGTTTATTCGAGTCACCCAGCCTTTTCGCACCGCAGCCTGGCCTCCCCCTGGTGAGACAACCACCTCGAAGGAAGCCGCCCGCATAGACTCCCACAAGGCTCCGGGCCCAGCGAGTTCTGTCGCTGAAGAGAGTAGGCTCCGCCCCCAACGTTCTGCGATTGGCCACGGCTTCCTGTGCTGCACCGCGATTGGCTCCCTCCGGCCTATGCGCAAAAGAGAGGAACGGCATTGCCATTGGTTGCGGAGACGGGCGCGCTAGCAATTGGGCGAGGCAGGCTTTAATTGACGGCGCCCCGCAGAGGCCCTCCCACCGAAGTGCTCTCGCGGGAAGTCAGCGGGAAGAGGGCGGAGCCGCTTTGCTCAGGGCCCAGCTGGCTAGGCTGGACAGAGCGGCCAGTGGGGCGGGACGCGCTCCCTCCCTCCCTCTCTCGTCTGCCTCCCAGCGGGAGGGGCTGTGGCTCGTCTCTGGGGGGGGGCGGGAGGTCCGCGTTGCTACGGAGACGGAGCAGCGCCGGCTACTCCCGCCGGGGCCTACCCCGAAAGGCTCCCGCGGGCGGCGGGACGGAGCGGCGCCCGGAGCGGCCCTTTCGATGCGGAGAGAGCGAGCGAGCGGGCGGCCGTGCTCCTGCTCCGCCCGGACCCCGTTCCACTCTCGGGTCATGCGCCGGCGGACGAACTTCCCTTAAGCCCGCCCCGACGGCGTGGAGCGGCCGAGCCACTCGGAGCAAGGTCAGCCTGGCGGGAAGGGCCGGCGGTGTCGCTCGGAGCCTCCGTTCCAGGGCCTGTGGGCAGCGGCGCCTGGGCTGGGCCGGGCCGGGCGTCTCCCGGGGTGCGAGGTCGTTCCTGCCCGGCTGCCGGCAGCCGCTTCTTAGTCCCCGGGAGGGCGAGGAGGCCCGCGGGGACGGAGGCTCTTCGGACCCGCGTTGAGCGGCTGGTGGGAACGTCATTTGGGGAACCGAGAGATTGAAAACGTTGCCTGGCGGCCCTTCTTTCCCCCCTGTGCAAGCAGATCTGCTGAAGGCTTCGCGGGCTCTGCG